TGTGTGTGTGTGTGAACGTATGTATGCAAAAATACTATATACATATACATACATATATATATATATATATATATATATATATATATATATATATATGTATATATATATATTTGTATATATGTATGCATGTGAATATGTATATATATATATATATATATATGTGTGTGTGTGTGTGTGTGTGTGTGTGTGTATGTATGTATGTATATATGCATGTGTGATTTTGAAGGGTTTGTTTTTTTATGTAATGTAAAGCATCTCCTTTTATAACCTTACAATCAGCAATCTATGGACCGAATGAGCATATAAAACCGAGGACAAACAATCTACCTTTCCCCTTCCTAATAATCCTTAACACACTAAAGAAAACAAACACGAACTACGCCAGCGCCATCTAGTTTCTGTAGCCAACGACCTGCTACGAAATGGCGCTTCTCCGACTCCCTGTTTTTTCGTCGTTTGTACAATATTTTTGCGGTCTTCGTCGACTTCGTTTGGAATTCGTCGTGGATTGGACAGTGTAGGAGCTGCCATTGCTTCGGATAGAGCTGTTAATTGTATGGCAGTTTTCTTATGCTAGTTTCACAAACGGGACTATTGCATTATTAATAAGTATCATTCCACAATGGTAAGTGCTATTTGGTTAAAGATGATTCGATTTACTGAAATTTAACTTTCAAGGAAAGTATTGGGTATTTAAGCATAAGGGTTAAAGTGAAAATTATCCTGCATTGTACGCTGCATGTATTGATTTTAATTAATATGACCTCAGTCTCAAATTAATTAAAACACAATTTGACAGATACTGTGGTTGATGCTGCTCTTGGCGGCTGGGACGTACCAGGCCCTCCCGACCAACGTCCAAATTACTCCAGACACTCCACTAGACAGCTTAACTCTCGATGAGGTTTGTGAAAATAGTGTATGGGAGGGGGGGGGTAGTGGATAACTTTTTGCAAAATAAGGCAATTTCGGGTATAAGCTTGCACTGTAGAACGGGGCGGGGTGAAGTACTTAATTTGGGGGTGAACTTGTCATTTTCCTCTAGGCTCCAGTCTAACTGGAATAGACGGCAACCTTCAAATATCGGGCAAGTCTATGCAATAATTTCTCTTAATGCGCCAAACTACAGATTGTTTCTCGCTATAGCTTGACCAGCTACTATCCGAAAAATTGGTGGAACTTCAAGTAGACATCCTGAAGACCTACGAAGAGCAGTTACGGGAACACGAAGAAACTCTACACCATCTTCACCGACATCGTCGTGAGTCGCCACCAGTGATACTTGATGTACCAAATCCTCTCTATCCTGTCTTAAACCAAGAAGCTTGGCACTCTTATGTGTACGACACCCGTCCCTCGAGGGAAAGTAAGCAACAATTTGGTTTCTAAATGGGGATCTTGTATAACGGCATAAATCTGGCCTGTATTAATTATAAGGATTAAGACTAAAACAATCTTGTCTCTTCAGTTGCATCAGTGACGGATCTTGTTACCAATATATTCACGAATGTGCAGACTGTTATGGACGTCTTTCCCGTAGCCCTTGACGACATTCACGCAATATACAAGGTTTGAATTATTTTTATTTTGTGATGTGCAATATTGCTTACACTTATGGCTTGCCTGTTAACGCGTAAAATTCCACTTCTAGATGGATTCGGGATATGGCTACATTCTGCAAGATGACAAGATGCATCTGCTGATGGTCCGTAACCAGTGGACCAACTCGCCTATCGGGTGTGCCTGCCCTGGCCAACCTACGGACACGGTAAGAGATAACACGGATAGGCTTTGTTACTATTGAATTGTTTACACTTGATTTGACCTCTGTAATGTTTTCAGAGATGTGCCTGCTGCGCTCCTGGTGGTGTTCTCTGCCAAGTTTCGGCAAGTGGTGTAAGCAATACATGCGTTGAAGACTCTGCGCTAGGCGCCCAGATGTGTGTTGCCCAAAGTAAGCTAACCATAGGAGAAGTTCTACTGGTATAACTTCATATTTGAAATTATTATTAATCTGTTGATTTTTCCCTTCAGCTTCAAAGCCTCTTGAATTGGATTATGCAATTGCATTTGAATACCATACTTTCTCCGAGGGGGTGCAGCAAGTTGTCGTAATTGCAAAAGGGGCATCTGTCAACTTCTATAAACTGGTGAGTATGGTACCTAATCTTGTTTTCACTAGTGGCTTGTATTAAAAGGCAATTACTTAATACTTGCACTGCAAGTAACGAAATTTGCCAATTGATAGGTATGACAAGGTAATAACAGAACTTTCAAAGTTCTGAAAGGTCTTGGTGGTTAATAATTGACTTTGATGCCTTCACTCCATTTCCAGGATCAATGGGGTCTGCAAGATTTTCATTCACTGAAAGGCCATAACACTATCACACTAGATAGTGATGTAACTCATCTAGGATATGGAGAAGTGTTTGTAGAACAGTTCGGTACAGTTGCAAGGAAGAGGTATTTGTTTACTTTCGGCCTTGACAGTAGCAGCAAGCGTTATTATGAAGTCGTAATAAATCCAGGGGACCTCTCCATAGAAACTGGGTAAGTTAAAATTTAAACTTGACTAGTGTTAATTAGAGAATTGCCGTTTACTTCATAAAATTAAAAAAACAACCTAATTTTAGATTTTCAATGACGTGGGATACCACTGGAACATCAATGAAAGTCTGGCAAAACGGTGGCAGAGTAATCATTGGAGTACAAGATGGTACTAACCTCAATATTCACGAACTAACAGTAAGTAAAATTTTATTTAGATATAATAAAGGGTTTAACTAATCAAGAATTACTTTATAATTCTCTTCTCTTTTTTAAGAGTGACCGCTGGGGTAGACAACAAATTTCATTGCAACAAGTATTGATCCTCCCAGCAACGGTAACCTCCTGGAGAAGCTATGCCACAGGCTTTGAAAATTTCCTCGTAGCCACGACCCCAACCTTTGCTCGCATTTACATGGAGAGTAGGGGCGAGTACCAAATTCTTCAGAACCTCTTGCCTACTGGTAGTCTTTCAAGCTTCATTGAATTGGTGCCAGTCAGTGTAAGTAAATCTCGCTTCTTCACTTGGTCAGGGCCTGCAAGCTTGAATTTGCTCTAATAAAATCTTCAATCTTTTAGCTTCCTTCCTGTAAGGACGAAGTAATCCTAATGACCGGATCGGGAAGCATTGTGCAAATCTTCGTTTGGGATGGAACAAAAGGACTTTACTCCCTGGTTAGTACATCAATTTTGTACTTGAAGGGTGGGGGGGGGCTCTGAAGTTGCAAGTAATAAACTTTTCTTTCTTCCAGGGAAATGAAACTACAGTACTAGCTGATATAACTGGCTGGGACAAAGGCTTTGGTGATGTAAGATCAATTAGTACAGCTGTCCCAAAGGCAAGTAACTTGAATTGGCATTAGTTGGTAACAATCCACTTTATTCAACTAATAGGTTGTGTATTAATTTACTTCATGGCTCGATTTACTCCCACTGCAGTTGATACTGAAATCGACACTAGGAGTTGTTGGCATTGATGTTGTTGCAGAGATGCTTCATCTCGAAGACCCTATTTGGGATGAAAGTGTTGCCCTGAAGAACAGAAAGCAGTACCTGGAGGTAAATGTGCCTTAATGCTACTGTAAAATGTAAATAGATTTAAAACTTTAAACTGATTAAACTTTAGTTTGTCCCTCTAACAAGAGTTTATTTGTTAAAAGTTAAGGAACTACATAAATACTTTTATTTATTGCAGAACGAATATACAAGGCAGAGGGAAGTGATGAGTGATATAGATGACAGATTAAATCATTCTGTAGACACCGTTACAGCAACTGTTAACATTACTGGTGATGTGACCATTTTGAATGGCATAATCCTTGACAAGGTTTGTATACTACTAGCTTTGCACTGTCGTGGTAACTTATCTCAAAGACTTGGTCTACATAATCTTCTTTTTAGACCTTAACAGTTACGGACTTGACTGCAAGCAACCTTGTATTCCCCAACACTGATCTTTCTGGCATAAGCTACAGTGGATACAAAGATCACCTTGATCAGCTAGCCAATAGTGCCACATGGCTACAGACTATAGATGGCACCTTAACTTCCATTGAAACAGAACTAGAAGGTATAACTGCTTTCCTTTGTCATCTGTCGGCCAGGCAAGGGAATGGAATGCTAAACCCAGTTTGTTGCTTTTAGATGCTGTTAGTGTGACTACAACCAAAAAGATCAATGGCAGAAAGGTAATTGTGGATGGGTTAACGGTTCAGGAGCTGAATGTTGACAGTGCAGTTTTCCAAGAAGTTTTGGACACTGGTGATCAAACTTTCCCTATTACTTCAACACTTGAAGGACTAGTAAAGTAAGTACTGTTGTCACAAGTTTATTAATTTCTTACTTGGACTATTACATCATGCAAGTCTACCACTAGGTTTGCTGATCCACGCAAGATAACGGGCAAGAAGACCTTTGCAACAAGGCTTGATGTCACAAATCTTGAAACGGGCTCCCTTGATGACATTCCTGTGAGTGATGTTGCAACTACAACAGGCAGCTATGCAGTAACTGGTAGTGTTAACTTTGTCAACACCCTACAAGCAAGGAATGTAGCTCTACCAAGTGGTGGCACTGTTGGCGGTATAGATCTTACAAATGCAGTTACACTAAATGGCCCAGCAAAGTTAGGCAAGTATAACTTTCTAACCATAACTGGCAATCCCTGCATCTTTAACTTCCTGAGTTAAGAGTTCACTTTGTAACCAACCGGTCTATTTCAGGTTATACTGTCTTCAATAAGAACTTGACAGTTAGTGAAAACCTACAAGTGGATTCTACTGATGTGGATGGTGTAATTATTGAGCAGCTGTACAGGAACGCGCTAACAAAAGCGGGTGGAAAATTGAAGGGACCTCTAGCATTTACTAACGATGTGACTGCGAAGTCTCTTTCTGCTAGCCTGCTATCTGGTGTTAGTTCGCCTATTTTCTTGTCTACAACTGTATTCAAGAATGAAGCTAGTCAACTGACGGGCAAGATAAAGGTACCAAGCCTTACAGCCAAAAGCTTGCAAGTTGGAGACATGGTCAACGGCAAAGCTTTCCCCTCTGACTTCCCCCTTAAGACAGATTCTAGTCTGAACCTAGGCACCAAAGCCTTCAATGATTTGACTTGTGAAAATCTTGTAGTTGACAATGGTGCTTCTGTTGATGGTATCCTGTTTGAAAACTTGGTCACTCTCCACAGAGCTCAAACAATGACTGGAATAAAGACCATAACAAATGGTGTTGATATTCAAGGCAGCCTCCAAGTTCCTAGTAGCTTGGTTGCAGGTGTGAATTTCGATGAACTACATGCCAACCTTACAGCAATTTTGGATCCAATGGGTGAAGGATTTGATTGTTATTTCTTTGAACCTGTCACAGCCCCAACTGTAGTGTATTCAGGTCAACTAAATGCACTGAATATTGTGGATCTTGGTCAAGATATAATCTACAGTGCTGACCCTACAGCAGCAGTATCAGGCACAAAGATCTTCACTCTTCCACTGAGTATCTCTCATGCAACATTTGACACTACATTTAATGGTGTAAGCTTTGAAGAGCTTGTACATAGCTTCTCAAGTACTCCTATAGCCGGAGTAAAAACCTTCAAGAAACCAGTTACTTTCTCATCAAATGTTGACGTAACGGGTCTAGTTGATGGTGTGGACTTGAAGCAACTCTTTGATTCTGCCCTCTACTTGGACAAGGTGGGACAAGTGGTAACAGGAAGGAAGACCTTCACCAGTACAGTGTCGGCTGGAGAACTAGATGTGCAGGGCAGAGTATCTGGTGTGGACTTCACCAAGGTGCTGGCTAACTCTGGTGCCCAAACCTTCACTGTTCCCCAGAAGTTTGCAGCAGCCTCCTTTGGTGCTCTGGATACTAGCCAAATCGATATGTCTGATGGCTTCACAATGAATGGCATTGACATTTCTGTGCTGGACAGCATTCGCATGAGCCGCAAGAATCCTACTGCCCACTTGGGTGCCCTAACTGTAAATGGAATGGTATCTGTTCTTGGTGCATTTGATGCAGTAAACATCGATGGGCATAATGTTGCACAGTTGAAGAACAACATTGTCACAGATGACATGGACTCAATCATCTCGTCGGATCTGAGCTTTGCAAGCCTAACTGTGAAAGGATCTGTAAGTACAGCTAACAAGGCTGGTGCTAATGGCAAGAACATAAGCAGAATCCACGAAAATGCAGTCTTCCTAGGAGGTAACAATGCCATGACAGGATCTGTGACCTGGGGTGACCTTGACCTGCAAGACGATGTAGCGGTTGGAGGACTTGTCAATGGGAAGGACCTGCAAGTGGTGCACAACAATGCAGTGTACAAAGATGCCAATTCTGTCCAGATAACAGGTGAGATTTTATTTTTTTTTTTCTTCCCCTCCCCCCCCACACACTTGTAAACAAAATTGTAATGTTATCTTGACCTTCTTAGGCAAGAAGGTATTCGTGAATGGTCTTTCTGTGAAAGGAGACATAGACACAGAAACTACAAATGGTATTGACCTTGGTACAAGACTCTTCACTCTCCACACTGACCAAGATATCACTGCTGCATTTACTTTCGATTCTGTAACGGCTGAGAAAAATTTGACCCTTGATGGTACTTTTGATGGAGTTGATCTTGAAAGGCTCGATTCTCAAGCCCTCAAGCAGAGTGCAGATAACATTGGTAAGTATTGCAATAATGCACTTTTTTTTTTTTTTCTTTAAACATTAAAGATGTACCCATAACTCATGGAGGGTCTTTTCAGGAAACATTGTCTTCAATGGAAAAGTGACGGTTGGCGATTTCCAGGTTGCTGGAAACCTGGAAAATATTGATGTCAATCAAAGGCTTCAAGATGCTGTACGCTTAACTGGTAGTGATATAATAATTAGAGGTAAAAAGAGTTTCGTCAGTGACGTAACCTTCAAGAATATCTTCACCACAAACTTGAACAACGTCGACTTTAATGCTTTCTTAAGCCATGCAGTACGCAAGAATGTCCCAATTACACTGAACAGAAACATCAAGGTTAATGGGCTAGTAACTGCACCCTCGGTAACTGCTAACTCCCTCGCAATACAGGTATGACTCTAGCATGCCACTCCTCATCCATTAATGGCTAGAAGCCTATTAAACTGGTTCTTATACTTCTCACTGTTTCAGGGTTCGGTAGATGGCATAGATTACAAGGACTTGATGACTAAAGCGGTTCTCCTTGATGGGACACAGTCTTCAACTTCTAATTTGGTAAGTTGCAAATTAATAATAATTTGACTTGCTACTTTATTTTTAATTTGCTTTTCAAATGAAATGCTGAATTGTCTGTTTTCCCTTCAGCAATTTGCAAATGATGTATCGGTAACGGGTAACCTTGCTATCACAAAACTAAATGATTTAGAAGTGGATACCCATTACCTAACCACCAATACACCGCAGACCTTCATAACAAATGTAGAAGTTAATGATGTTCATGCATCTACTAATGTGGCGGTACTGGGTAAGGTTAACAACGTAAACCTTCCTGCAGAATCTCTAAACACTCTGAAGGTAAGACTTACTACTGCTACATGAAAGCCTTAATAATTTGCACTTTAGACTAATTTACTTGCTGCCCGTGTTTAAAATTGTCTAATCTTTATAGAAAAGTGGAGGCCAAACTGTAACTGGACTAAAACGTATAGAAGGTTTGACTATTGTATCAAACAATGTTGAAGTAACAGGCAAAACGGGAGACGATGCCTTGGTCGACTTCTCGACAGAGGTCGTGTATCTGACCGAAGCTCCAACAATAAGTGGTGAGCACTTTATCTTGCAAGTAAAGGCACACCGGTCACCAATTGGTCTTTATTGAAATTTAACCAAACCCAATTTGTTTCAGGGCGTCTTAACTTCTCTTCTGGCCTAACTGTACAGAGTTTAACTAGCACCAGTGGTGAGATTGGTGACATAGATTTGGTAAACTTGGCAAATAAGGCTTGGTATTACAATAAACCAGCTTTAATCACTGCTAGCCTGAACTTCACCTACCCAGTAGTCATGAAGGTAAGCTGGAAGGATTTAAAGCATTATCCTGATTATAAATGTTTTTCTTTCTTATAACCTCCCTATCTGTTACTAGGAGACTCTACTGACTAGTCACCCAGTGGATGGCATGCTTGTAAGTGCAGTGTATGGAGAAGCTAAAAGTGCACTAGAGACCTACTCTACCTACAATGAAGGCATAAAGGTAAATATAGAGCATAGTTTCTGCATAACTTTCTTTTTTTTTTATTAAAGGATATTAATTGGAACTATATTACAGAGCCTTTACATCAATAAATGCCCCCTCATTGAAGAAGCATATGAAGATACTCAGAGGGCCATATTTGATGCAGACTACTTTGATTTGGTGCATGAGCTCCAGTTTAGTGGGAAACTAAAGTCTTCTGGATCTGTGAGGGTAAGAATAAAGATATTTGATAACGCATACCAGTAATTCATTTTATGGATAGACTTCTTAACTAGACCATTTTATTCTAGATGGGCGATTACTCCTATGTTGTCATGAGCTGGGACCAAACTTGTGATGTGACGATGCACAAGTATGGCACTAATTTTGTACACACTACAGCGCAGTACTCTAATGTTGGATCTGGTAAAGACTGGATAGACTTCGAACACAATGGAAATGTAAGTAGTATGGCCTAAAGTTTACACAAACATGGTCTAAAAGACTAGTTGTACACTTCTTAATGTCTTTGCAGATTTTCCTCATCATGGCTGCATCTGCTGCAGACAATAGCTGCAGCAGGACAAATAGTGTTGCCTTCAAGCTAGAGAATGGTGTACTTGCTGTAAGTAGGCAACTTTTTGTAGTTTGCCTTTTTAACTTTGTCCTAGTTCATGCTATAATAGCCTGCACCTTCTCTTCTAGGTGCACCAAGAACTTGTTGCAGGAGAAAAGGTCCAACAGGCTTTTGTCGAAGAAACTGGATCAATGGGAATATCTATTACCATGGGCAGCACAAGACACATCTACAGCTTCAGCAGCTCAAATAATCTCTTTGAATTTGTAAAAACCTCCCCTGCTCTTGGTAAGCTGCATGCTCAACTCCTCCTCTTATTTCCCATGCCTTTTCCATGGCTGTATCTAAAGTAAAATCTTACAGATGCAATGGCAACAATGATTGATGATGGAGACGCTATAGTTGTAACGGGCGAGACCGAGAAAATGAAGATGTCCGTGAATGGTGCTATACTTCATGAAGTGGAGGTACTTAAAGTAGATGACGCAACCCTGGTGAAGCAATATGGGAAACTGTACCTGATGTGTTCAGTTACACGACAACTAGTATCTGGTGTAGTGCACAACCTTGAGGTAAGAATCGATCTATCAAGTTTAATCCCCCAGAAAAAGCTTGCACTGCTATAGGCTTTATCTGGATTTATTTTTTCCAGCTTTACTTGGTTGACCCTGCTACTGGCTTCTCTTGGCTAGATTCAAAGCCTTTGAATGAACCGGCTAAGCTGACTAGTTTCTTCACTGGTAATGCAGCAACTGGAACTACCTTGGTTGTAGCCTTGCAGGAGAACTGGTACCCTACTGCTTACACAATACATGGTATGTAGCTTTGAATTAATGCTAAAGTTAAAATTGTGAAACTAAATTGATAAGACTAATTAATCTTTACTTTTTCATTACAGGAATGAAGTACAAGCCATTTGTAGAACTAAATGCACCCTTAACTTGGTGGGCAGAGCACTTTAGTGTGCCACATGCAACCTTCCCAGAAATCTCCAAACATGCTCTATTAATTGGACAAGGAAATGCAGTGAAGGTGCTAGAGCTGAAGATGAATGGACTGACTCACGAGGCTGAACATGTTGAGTGCAACCCAGGAGCTTTCAAGTATCCTGAACTAATGCCAATAGTCCCAGTGTGATAAAACCATTTTAAAATTTTAATAAATTGTTAATTAAATTAGTCTGTTAAATCACCACCTAAATTTTTAAAATGGAACTAAAGCCTAGACTTGGCTCTAGGCCAGACTAATACCTGGGTTGGGAGGGTGGAAGCAAAATAAGTCTAGGGAAGTTCCAAATGGCTTAAAACGACATTAAACCTAGAAATGTATAACTTATAAAATTCCATGGCAACTGTACCTGATTAAGGTCTTGTACAGATGGTTTAAACTTCTAAAATCCCAAGGAATTAGATACCCACTTCCTGATACTACACCTCCCCTTATCCTTTATCTCACCCCCCCCTTAGTTCCCTTTTCTATTGTGACCTGCATTACCATAGCTCTGCAGGTATTCCAAATTAAGTTCCTGTTCACAGGATGAAGCTAGTCTCAACCTAGCAATAACCCATATGGCTTACACCACCTAATACTAGCAGATTGTATAGACAAGACTGTAGGAGGGGGAACCTAAGTCTATAAGAAAAAGCCATAGCTTGTACCTTCAAGCCATTCCCATAGTTATCGATATTTTCTGCTGTATATGTGATTTTAGTCTCCCTTTTCCACCCCACTGAACGTTACCTTACCTTAAGTGCAAAGTTCCCAAGTGCAGCAACATTTCGGCAGTTGATTTAAACTGCCACCACTGATTCCACTGCTACCCATAGCAGATCCCTAATCCTTATCTACCTTAAGATCGCCCCACCCACTTTGTCATGCTCATGCAATCTTTTTTTCATGCTTTGACTTTTCTATGCTCGACTTCTCTCCATTTTTAGTCTATTAGTATGTTCTTTACTACCTTTTCTTTTTCTACTGACTTTCCAGTACTTTTATCCTACTTGAAAAAGCTGGCTTGTGTACTTTCACTTCACTCTGCTATTCCTACCCTCCATCCCTTCTCATCGATTACATTGTTTCAGTTAGTACTAAGAGCTGCCCAAACAGCCATTCCCTGAACTTCAAGGCTTTAACTCAAAGGGTGTTCCATGGTGATTCCGAATGCATCAAAGCACTGCTTTGAACACCTGGCCTAAAACACTTTTTAGCTTGTTAGGGGGTGCCTCACTTTTAGCTATCAGACCTTATCTGCTGTGGGTTTTTTTTAACTCCCCCTGTCTTTATAATCAGGAACGGCAAAAGGGTTTTCATGAGGGTTTAAGGATCCAATGCCAGACAGCTGAATATTTTAAACCCACAACTCCCCCCTCCCCCACCCAGCCCCCATCTTCCAGAGATGTATGATCCTCTCAAAGGCCCTAATGAACTAGGACTACTAACGGGTCAATAGTGGCTTTCTCCATACTCCTCTTCCAGACCCTCTGATCTTCCACCCTCGTCACCACCTTCGTCTGGAGTCCTGTGCTTTCTTTCTTGACCCCATTCTGCTTTAGTTGTGCTGCCCATGAAGACCTTGTATTCATTACCTTGTTGAAACCCAGTAAATTGGCTAACTTCCTACAAGATTAATACCCCATAGCTCTAACTAGCTGCCTGTACAAACTAAAGGGTTAACCCTTTAATGTGGTATCTCACCTTTCCTGTTTGGTTTCAGCTTTGCCCAAAGTAAGTAATAGCTGCCCCACCCCCTGCTCATTTCGACTTTGCATTTGCACACTAGCTTTGCATACAGAAAAAGCATACCTCATGGCGGTACCATATTCTCCAACAATAGTCCTCCCTAGGCATACGTGGAAACATGGATTTCTTTATAAAGTCCTAACTGTACTTTCCAATTTAAAATTGAACTGAGGAAACTGTGGAAGAGGCAAAGGCTTCCACTAGGCAGTGCTCAGCACCACCTAATTCCTCCTTGCTGTTAATGACATGGTTTCAGTTGTCACTAGGGGCCGTCACTTTTTTTTTTTTTTTTTTTTCCAAAACCTTTAACACTGATACATGTTTGCCCTTTAATACCAGAGGTTTCAACAAATTCCAATGTACATTTAAAGTTTATCTTCAATTTGATAGTTTCCATCTAGCCAATTAGAGTGTAATTTTACAGATAAATTTCGTCTCAGATAGGGATTTATATTTTCATTAGATCGAAATTATCAAGAAACTTTATGCACCATTGAAATAAAAAGAATACATTAAGGCTGCGTTTACACCAAGCGATTCATGAATCGTGTCTATTCGCCGCACTAGTGTCAATGTAACCATTCACACCAGGCGAATCGATTAGATTCAAATCATGCCGATTCATTGACTGACTGATGGGGGGGGGGGAAATAGGTCCAAACCCATCATTGATTCTGCCATGGCGAGTCAGCCGAGCAGGAAAGCATCATGCAAGTGGAACTTGTCAGTTTAGGATCACTAGGATCATAAATAGCACGTTCTTGCACTAGTGATCCTGTGCACCGAAATCGTGATGTAATTGCTGCGCTATGGAAGGATATTGCTATATTGACCCATTTCCCAATACCTTTACACCTGCTAACCTCCATACTAGTTGCCAAGTCGGTTGCCAGTTCTATTAATAAACCAAAAGCCATTTGTTAATTTTCTCAGAAAAAAAAATAGACAATGCAAATGGTGGGAGCTTAGGAGGCATAAACAAAGCCAATGTGGGGATCATCTCTACCTTGGACCTCAGTCCCTTGTCCCAACTAGTTTTGCAGGGTGTTCTCTTCTCCTTTTCTTAATCCCCTCTCCTGTCCACTTACCTTAATTGCTAACTCATTTTTATCCTTTTCGCCACAATACTTTGTCATAATGCTGTGACCTTTGATGTCTGGCACATTTGTTTTTAGATTTCCACAAAGTTTATTGGTCATGACTAGGGTTGTGACAAACAATTATTTAAAATAATTTTATAAGCTTAAGCTTTAAGCTCATAAAATAATCCTTTAAAGCGTATAATTAATCTTTTTCACACAAAATATTATTTTTAAGCTTAATTAATTGTAGTGAAATGCGTGAAAATGTTCATGTTATAAACAATAATTAATGGATATTTCGGATCAATATTAAAATGAGGATAATAAATACTATTCGAAACTTGAAAATTGTATTCTAACAAACAAACAAATTGTATTACAACAATAAATTATATTCCAATAAATATAAAAATAATGTTTCTTTAACAAAAGCCTTTGTAACATAGAAAAAAAATAACAAATGAATAGCACAGAGTGTTATGTTTCTATCTATTTAACATTTATATTTAAATGCTATTAACAGAACACAATTCAGAATTAAAAATTATTGCATTTGATTATCATTGTCTGTTTCAGATTGTCAAAGAGAAATCTGCGTCTATTGTCTGCTAGCACATTTTTATACGCTGAAAATACTCGTTCGGCATCACATGACACGAGTGGTGCATAACGGAATGCAGATATATCTGAACTAGATAACTGTTTCACGTATTCGCTTTCAGCTTCTTTCAATTTTCCAGATAGAAGAGAATTTATTTCCTTCATGACTAAGAAACCCTTATTCTTTTTCATGACCGCCTGCAACTTTTTATAGTACTGTTGGTCGTACATTTTCTTAAGGTTTGTTTCAACTTGTTCCATAAGATTGATAGCTGTTTTAAGATCTAAGCCCCGAGTCTCAAGCTTCTCAATCGTCGATGGAATAATAGAAAAGTTGGATGAAATGAAAGATAGGCTATACTTCAATTCAACATTGTTTACCAGCTCCTGAGACTCGGCAATGCACTGAGCATCATTCGCATTAAATGAAAGCACAACCTCGCTAACCTTTTCTAAATGAGTTGAATGATACACAGCCGCTTGTAACCATGTCCCCCACCTTGTTATTACAGGTAAGGGAGGTAAAGGAACTTCAGGGTACGAATCTCTAAATTTCTGAACTCTTAGGGGTGCTTTAACAAACACTGTTTTAGCTGCACTAATGAGCCGATTGACCTCTGAGTAATTGTACCGAATAATTTCAGCAACCCTGTGTAATCCATGAGCTATGCATGTAATGTGGATCATCTTTGGGTATAATACATTTAATCCTCGCATTGCTTTCAACATATACGGAGCAGCGTCAGTCGTCACAACTAGAATATTATGGTACAAAATTTGGTCAGGCCAAAGTTGTAAGAGAGATTCATTGAAGAACGCTGCTATAGTTGAATGATTCACAGCGTCCAGCAAAGCCATATTTCCGAGATAGCATTTATCTCGTTCATCCTCTTCTCCAAGAATTCCAAGCACAAAACAAGCGACAAATCGCTGCTCCACATCAGTAGTCTCATCTATAGACACCCATAATTTCTTGCCAGCGACTTTTTTCCTAAGTTTACTTATCTTACTCTTGTACACATTTTGTACATAATATTTTCTAAGAGTACTTTGATCAGGCATATCTTTTCCAGAAATTTCCTCCAAAAAATTCCGAAATTCAACTGAGCTGAGTTTATTTAGAGGGATGTCAGCAGACAACAGCGCACGACAAAGTTTCTCATTGAACTGTTTTTGCGGTGAAGTTCCCATCTCCTGTTCAATTCCAATATCCTCCCTATCACCATCATTCATATTGGGGATTTCCTCATTAATACTTTGCACGTTGTTCCGGTGTTTCTTGGTTTTGGAATGTTGCACGAAATCAGACTTTTTCAACCTGTCCATCTGAAAAAAAGGGATTTCATGATGTAGCTCACATAATTCAGACTAGTAAAACTTGCAACAATGACTACTGACGAAAACAATATTTTCCAACCACGGTTTCATTACTTGATAAGACTCAATTTTATGTGGAAAACGAATATTTCAACATTTTATATTAATATATTCAGATGAATAGCAGTTCATTCTAATATAACAAAGTAATAACGTCGCATTCAGTGAGTGTTATACCGTCATTGAGTGTCCGATTCTGTCTTGCCTCTGAAAATTAGATTAAGAAAACACTTGACGTATATACCATTTTCTCACCTTCACATGACAAAACTTGCACTGTATCACTCCATCAACATCCTCAAAGTCTTTGAACTCATCGAGTAATTTTCTTTTGAGCTTGTGTGCCTGAATTTTTGGCATCTTTGCAAGCTGAAATG